ATTAGTGCCACAACTACTGTAAAATACTGTAACAGTACTAGGGGACAAGTTGAGTGGATTAGAAGATTTGTGCTTGTCATTTCTTGTCATATTTATTAGAGAGTTTTTATGTTCGTTTTTATGTCCTGTCTCTAATAGCTGTGCAGTTAATCTACGTATTTTGAAATAATGAATTCTTGTTGTTAAACTATACAATATATTGATTCATAATTATCGCAACAAACTAATCTCTCTGTTCTAGAAAAAGTATATCAATATCGTGCACACGTATTACCTCTTTAGCACAGTTGCTTTACTCTGAGGTCTAGATATTTTCCCTTAAAACCTTTTCTAGCTTTCCACTTTTTTATTGCAGGTAGGGTTTCTGTTGCGGCACGTGATAGGGACCTCTGTAGCCTTAAAATGTTGAAATAAACTTACAAGTAACACTTCTTTGTTGAGTATCTTCAGTTGAGTAGAAAGGAGTGTAAAGCATTAAGAGTTTCGCAATAAATTTACGATAAGGCCGATCGGTCAGCTGTGAATGGGTAATTGAAATTAGTAAGATCGTAAAATATTTTCTGCCTGTGTGTAATATTTCGTAAGTTGTTACACATAAATCTTCCCAAACGCTGCTTTCCTAATCCTAAATTGCGCATTTTTAAAAAGCTGGAATATGAACATGCAATGGCTCGTGAACCAGATTGTTGCAAGCATCTTCAGTCGCACATTACTTTATCAAACTTCACGTGTACGTCCGCCTCAGATCATTCCTTATTTCCATAAAATGAGTCGTAATGTAAGCAATTAATTTATCTTCGTAAAAACTTTCGTTGAAAGCGTCATAATAATGTTGGTATATAAGCACTCTTGAGGACATCTTGGCCGGCTGCAATACGATGTTTCAAGAGAAGAAAAGTGCACTCAGTCGTCGCACGTTCGTTCAAAGTCATTGCCCTTGATGTCGGTGGGCTTGTTTTTATACCGGGCATTTTCCTTTTTCATAGTTTCAAACAACTTAATGGCATTGAGGCATTCATGAGGCCAATCTGCCTTAAATTCTGCGCTTTGGTCATCCGGAGGTTCAAAACTTTTGTAGTTAATACTGTCGAAGAAATCGTCTTGCTGTGATTCAAAACAAATGTGTCCACTATTACTAAAAATAAATGAGAATTGCCCATTGTCGGTGCTTTACTGAGAAATTTGTGAGACAATTGTGCTTTTCCACAAGCAATTTGTGAATGGAACGCCTTAATTTTATTTAAAAAGAAATTGAACATAAAAGTTCCGACCCGCACATCGGAAAAAACAGCACCTTGCTCTTCCCTGATTTCGCAATAGGCATCAACCAAGACAGCCACAAAACTGTTGATAAGGACAAATAATATGGCGAGCAAAAAGAAAAAAAAAGAACAGTGGCCCCATGATTGGATATGGCAAACTCGTTTCCCGGTTAACCTTGGCCCCGAAACAAAGATGAGCAAACTGAGCGAAAGCGATAACTGCAATGCCCATAACTACGGAAAATGAAACAATGGGCTTAAATGATCGGTTAGCGTTAGATAACACCGAGTGAAGCCAGATTGGACACCTTATGAATTTTACACAACGCATTATTTCCATGATGGAACGAGGCCGGAATGTAGAATGAGGCTAGAATAGCTGAAGAAACCAAAACCGACAGAGCGCCAGTTATGGAGAGAACACAGTAGAGAGTTAAGCACTGATCTGCAGTGATTAGGGTTAAGCACTGAACTGAAAACTGTTAGCTTTCAAATATTGTAATGGGGTACGGCATAAGAACATGCATGTATATGTTTAAAATTATTGGATTTGGCAGCTAGTCCTCGATGGTGTAGTGGATATGGATTTAGGCTATAAAGCAAGTGACCCGGGTTCAAAGCATGTCAGCGGATTTTTTCTATTTTATTTTATATTACACAGTAAAGTTGGACTTAAGTTGTTCTTCATGTAATTTTACTTAAAGAAACAATCTGACTTCAGCCGATGTTACCTAATGCTAACCTAAATGATCTCCTTAAAGTTCCTTGCATTTCAGTGGCAGATATGAGGATTGAATCGGATAAGCTGCAGTAGCTTAAGAGTTGTTAAGAAAATTGCTATTAATAGCCAGACGGTTTCTATGGCCAGGAGGCGTGCGATGGTGTCAGAACTGGAACCTTTGTAAGGATTACTTTGTATCCTCCTCACATCTAAGCTCGTTTCTTTAGCCTTAAACAGCGATAACATAACAGCCACAACCGACACCACAAGAAGGACGAGCTCCAACCAATTCCAAATTTGGAACAAGTAACTCTTATAACGAAAGAAATTTACCATTTCAGCGATTAAGTATACCACGATTACTATAAGGAACAGTAACTGGCATACTTCATAAGACGATTTGGCACTCACCGATGGGTACAATGAAAGCGATCTTACATCTACTGCAGTGACAACCTGCCCAGTTGGGAGTTGTTTCGTATACATTTCCGACTTTACAGAATAGCGAGGAAGATGGATCAAACAGCGATTGTGCTGAAGAAGGTGTTCTATCACTTTTGCAGCGGAAACTTGATTGTACCCGAGCTCAGCGACATATCCACCTCCTTCGTAAGTTTTTTCAACGGCCTCGTGAGAAAGGGTGTCGGGTTTTGACGCAGACTGGTACCTCCACGGTTTTGGACAAATGTCGTTAACTGACTTAAGGTGGCTGTAATTGTTTAATGGTTTCCATTCCGATAAGTAAAATGCAGTTCTGTCCTCACTGTCACCCGAACACCCCTTAATATATACTGGAAACAAATCTTTCAGACTGGAGCTCAGCAGATACTCACCACTGATTTTGTCCTAAAAACAGTTAATACAAAAAGGTCATTTTAGTAATCTGCTGGTATATTTTGGTTTTGGACATTCGTTAAGAGGATCGTGGCCTCAAACGCCTTTGATGAAGTGACCAGAAAACCAGTTAATCAATTGGCAGCTGTAACTGGTGTTCTTTGACCAGTGCCATTCCTCCTCCAACTAAAATTTTCGTCGGGCGAAAGACGTTTATTGACCTCGTCCCATTCCTCCCGTTTTTATAAGAAGACTATTAGTAGCCATTGTTTGGACCTACAAAAGGAAAGCAGTTTGCTCTCTATCTAGTGGGCATTTCGACTCGAAGGATTTCTAGGTAAAACAAGGCGTGGCTGGTCACGTGATGTAGTTGACCCAAACAGGTATTATGTTTGGTATATGAAGAGTTCCACGTCTGAACTGGGCCTAAGAAAATTGGAGACTTACTTTTCTTTATTCTTAACTGCCTCATCCGTGGCATTCCAATAAGGAAAGTCTTCTTATTTCTGATGAACCCTTCAGGGTAGTCAAATTGTTGACCATTGTACCACGTGATGTGATTTCTCACTTCTTCTTTAATTGTCTTTGCCTTATTTTTCATTGTTTCTGTGTCAGTACTGGTTGAAGGTTGATAAATCTTCTTTTTAAGTGATCAGGTAATAAGGTATTTCTCTGCGTCTTGTAGCATACATCTGATATCTTATAAAACCAAAACAACCGGAACAGTTTGGTCTCTGTAAACAAACCAATGGTGAAACTTCGGCTATCTACAGCATTAGCCGCACTGCAGGACCAGTAAATTGAACGGAAATATGCTTGGATCTCATACTGGCATGTAAGCATCAGTGCCGCATTGTATCGGGATAAAACTGATTAAAATCCTTGAACTGATTCAGCACAAAGTTAACGAAAATCATCAGCCTTAATAACCTCCTTTGGGTCATCCTTCCCGCTCTTTTAATATTTCACACGTAGCAGACTGTCGGTGCAAAATTGCATCTTCGAAAAATTTAGCTTTGTAGGTTCACCAAGTTCTATTGAAATTTATTTGTTAGTGAAACTGCTGAGTAAATAAAATTATTCGTGTTCGTCCCCTTGTGAATTACTGTTAGAGACATGACATCTACTGTTTTTTTTTCCTGTGAGAAGCAGCCAATCAAGAGATATTTGTCATTATATCCTCCTTAACTCCCCTCTCTTAATAATGGTGGAACTAGCGCAAAGTTAACGAAACTCATCACCCTTAATAACCTCCTTTGGGTCATCCTTCCCGCTCTTTTAATATTTAACACGTAGCAGACCGTCCGCGCAAAATCGCATCTTCGAAAAATTTAGCTTTGTATTAAACGAGTCTTGTCCTCATCCGTGTAATGTGGATAAATAAAATACCTACCTACCTACCTACCTACCTACCTACCTACCTTTAAAAGCGAGCGGAATGAGTCTTTCGGGTCTCGACGCGGCCAAGCTAGCGACAAACTCGCGATAAGTCTTCTTACCGCGAGCCAAATTTTAAAAAAGACAGAAGACTTTTCAATTCGAAAGTCTAAAATATTACCTGAGAACTCCGGCGGCGGTGCGGTCCGGAAGGAAATCTTGACGGGTCAATATGACAGATTTATTGTCTTTTTAAGAAAAAAACAGATGACGCTCGCGAGTGCTAATAATCGGGACACTGTCCCTTTAAAAGGTCTTACTTTAATAAACGTGTGCTCAGTTTTCATCTGCCGTCACTGCAGCAACTCTTTTTGGAATTCAGCTGCAGACAATCAAAGGACGTTCTGCTGTAATAATCTGTGGCAAAACAATTGCTGAAGTTACTGATATACTTTTTTCTTCTGGAATTAGCTATTTTATGGTTTAGAATTATGTCAATTTCTCAGGAGCTTTCTAACAGGAGCAAATCTGTTGTTTGGATTGAATCGGCTTGGTTTGCTGTAACTAATGTCATTGCCTTCTTCGGAAGCCTTTCGGTTTGTTTTGCAGTATATAGGAACCAGAGACTTCGAACACTTGCTAACATGTTTATCCTAGCCCTGGCAGTCAGCGATATTATGATATCTATTTTCAGCATGCCTTTTTCAGTTGCAACATTGGTGCACGGCAGGTGGATCTTCGGAGCGGATTTTTGTCAATTTCAAGCTTTCGCGCTGTTTCTGTTTGGGCTGGCATCTCTCAACACTATGGGGGTAATCGCGGTCAGCAGATACTTTTGTGTAGTGAAGCCAGAAAAGTACATCACATTATTCACCAGGAAAAGAATCTTCCTTTACGTATCTTTCGTGTGGTTTTTGGCTCTTTTCGCCACTGTACCTCCACTGTTCTTTAAAGAAGGTGGATACCAGTTTCAGCCGGGAAAGGCAATGTGCTTATACTCCTTCGAAGTTAGCATTGGTTACACGGTTTTTCTTGGATGCGTATACCTTGGCACACCATTAACCCTGATTACAATCTGCTATGCTAAAGTGTTTTACACCGTTTCGCGATCAAATCGTGTTTTTTCGCGAGTGAATGACTCTCAGCAGCTGAGAGCCAACGTGGAAGAAGCAAAAGTGACAAAAACTTTAGCAGCAGTCATGGCTGGGTTCTTGTTTTGCTGGCTTCCAATCTCCGTAATTGATTACATAGACCTTGCGAGGGGAAAACCCAGTTTTCCTCGTCGGTTATACTTAGTATACGGGTTCTTGATTTATTTGAGCAGTACCATTAACCCGTTTATATACGGTGCCACGAACAGGCTCTTCAGGCGAGAGTACAAGGCTATTTTGGAAGCAATTTTAAGCAAACTTCCCGCTGTCTCTTCAGACTTGTTTAGACGCTCAAAGCCAAGTCAAAGCCAAAATACCCAATCTTCTCACGACCAAAAAAATGAAAACATGGAAATTGAAACTCTCTCATAATCTATTCTAGCTAAAGGTGGTTAAAAAGAAAAAACGCATTCAATGCAGGTTCGTCTTTTTTAATCCTACAGCTCATCAAATCCATGTCTTCTTCTTGGCTAAAGCGTCACCTTAGAAACAGAAAATCCGTCCGGAAGAGAGCAAAGTCAACGCATTGATCTATGAAAAATGATACTTCATGAAAACAATAACCTAAACGTACAAAATTACCTTACTTCAAAGGTTCCGTAGAACAGTCTTTTAGAAACATCAAGAAGGCGTCAGATCCAAAGAAAGCATTTATATTCAGTATTGCAGAGTTCAAGTGTTTTAGTGTCCAAGTATATTGTCTGTGGACGAAATCGTACGGTGTGACAATTCATGTAAAGCCTCCTTGACAGTATGCTCAAGTAGTGCTAATGCTTTTTTCAGCATTATACAAAATGAAATTTGGAAACTTTGTCGAATTTTGAACTTAGCCACTTTTGAAAGTAAAAGGTAGGATTAATGAAATTTGTTCCGCGCCAAGGAGATTAAGGGTTTTAGAAGTTATTTCGCTCCGTTATAAAAAAAAAAACAACAACAAGCACAAGTGATCATTCCTAATCAATTTCCCATTCTAATGTTCTGATGGCAGAGTTCCCGCTGGCGAGGGATAGACATCAACAGAGAGACAGTGAAATAAACATCAACAAATTCGTAATCATGTCATCCATTCCGCTGGATAAATTTGTTGATCTACCCGATTAATACAAGATTGGCAATTGTCAGGAGCCCATCCTATTACAAGTTCGGTGATAGGTGTGAATGATTATTATATATCAAAAGCAGAAAACGTGTGCCATGATTTTGAACACACACATCGGTCTAGTTGTAAGGGATATCGCTTCACGAGTTTCTCATAGAGGTCCTGGAAGATCATGCATAGGTGCAAATCCCGCTGGAGTTTTTAGTTTTTCAATATTATAGCATCACTTGAAATAAATTATGTGGTTGAGAAGTTACTTCTACCTTTTAGCAGGAAGTAAAATTTTCATTCCGTATTTATTACACTGATGCCTTTATATATACACTTTAGTTTTACACGAAGGATTTTTCACTTACTGTTGGTAACTAAGGTTCGATTATTTGAAAAGCCCTCAGTAAGCAGAGAGAACCTGGGAACGAGGTTGCTTTCTGGTTCGTCGGGCTGGTTTCATTTTCAGGGCGGAAAAACGTTCTGCGCAAGCTTCTGCGCATCCCTTATCGCTGGCTCAAGGCGGGCTTTTCTGTATGTTGACTGTGTTGACTGTGTTTATTTGTTGCTGGAGTTCTGAGTGAAATGCACGAGGTGCGAACGTTTGCTCCCTGTAAAGCATTTTTATTTGACATGTTTGCTTTTTTTACGTCTCTTGAAAATTACTTTGGATTCAGAACAACCAATATTAAAGGAAAAACGGATCATTCCGTCAGTCTGAGGTGGAATAAAAGGTTTTGAACATTTTTAAAGAGGCGAGTATTTTTTCTGATTGTGCATCCGATTAATTTATGAGTTGATTTCGCCGGGTTGAATTAAAACCCGCTTGTATTCTGTTATTAGTAGTTACGGTTACTTTTTTTACATGCCCAGATTTATTACCTTTGCAGAACCAGCTTTATCTTTGTCTTCAGTCAAAGAACCATATTGCTGTTTAATATAACGCATCAGAGTGAAAAAACTTGACCGCTTTAGTAAATTTTCTCGGAAATAGAAGGCCAGCAAGCTTAGTCAAGATCATTTTTCTATAGCTCAAGTAATAATAGTCAGAGTTTTTTTCATGTTTCATTACATAGTTTTGCTTTCCAGTGCACTGTGAAAGTTTCTGTTCTTCATAAGAATAACTTTCTGTACGCAAATTGTCCTATTCGCTCGCTGTAAAGTAGAGAACGACAACTGCCGGCAGTGACTTCAAAACAATTGACTCTTTTCCCGTAAACAATTGCTGCAGCTGGATTTGACTGAGGCGAGCAAAACAAACCCGTTATGTGCAATTTTCTGTATTTTCTAATGGTCGGCTAAGTTTAATTTGCTTAAACGAAGACCCTCGCATGGACCAGTTAAGCTTATTGAAAATATCATGACTTGGCTGCCAAGTTGCAACTGATCTTTTGCTTTTAAGATCTTTAGGTAGGTTGTTTTCGCACAGAAAAATCATTTCTTCATTGTCAGCAAGACGTTTTTGAAATAATGTAACTTTAACTTTATTTGAAGGAAATCCTACTTACGCGTAGGTTTTTGACAGATGTTATGCGTGTTCAACTAGCTTCAACTTGACAACAGAACGCAAAATTTATATATCTGCGCGAAACGAGCAAGTTTAAAAAACTATAGTTACTTTGAAACCGATTTTTGGGAAGATTTTACTAGATAAAGATTGACTTTTTTTCTGCCCACATATCAACGCAATAACTTCTACATTGAGGATTTTGTTTATACTATGGTGATCTGCGAAACTACGAGTGTCCGATCGAGCGAGGGTTTTAAAATATCAGCTCGAGTGCGACAAAGTTCAGTGACTTCAAACACATTGTGGGCAAGCGTTAATTTTTTGGGGCAAATCACTGTCCAAAGATATGTTATTTTTGTATCCACAGTGGAGCTCTGGACCTTATATATCCAGGAACTTCCTTATATGAACACATTTTGTGAATGCATCTTGAAAAAATCGGACCTACGCATGCACATTTCTAGTACAACGCAAGAAAATTAATGACGTTAAATTCCGTTTTACTATAAGGTATTCTTCGAGAAAATTAAGTAACGACAAGGTTATAACCACAGCTTGCAACTTTTGAAGACAAATTGCCTGTTCTTTTCAGGTTATGAGTGGAAATGTTTTATTTTTAGGCAATAAAAAATTTGAAATCCCGCCATTTTTTCAAACCCGGTCAGGGGATCTGGGCCAAAAAAGTTGACGCATGCTCATTACGTTTTTCCGCCCTGAAGGTTTCATTACTTATTTGTTTGGAATAAAATTTACTTTTTTCTCACCTATAATTAAGCAATAGACCACACTTTCTATGGGTTTACCGGCGTGATAACCCACGCGGGATGTTGGGAGAACACGAGAAAAGCTTGTAAATCACGAGCCGAAGGCGAGTGATTTACAAGCTTTTTGAGTGTTCTCCCAACATCCCAAGTGGGTTATCACGCCGGTAAACCCATAGAAAGTGTGGTCTATTGCTTTTATAAAATAACCTTTAGTAAAGTGGAGTCTTTTAGGTAAAAAATATTGTTTTAGTACCGTGATCGATTTATGTCTTCTCTCTAAAGTCATCATAAGCCAATCATGACTCACGATTTAATAGCGCAGAACTTTCTCAAAACTCAGTTCAGTCAAACAACAAACAGCAGCACTTCAAAACACGAGTTTTTGCACTAGTTACATGATAACTTATGAAAGCTGTTTTACAGGAAAAGTCAACACATATTCATGCGAACGTACAATGAAACAATACGTTCATGGTTTGTTTACTAAAGAAGTAGAAAATTGAACATCAGACTGCACGCAGCTGTATTTTGTTGAGTCGATCCGTAAGAATTTCGTGCTTACAGACGGAACTGGCAGCTATTGTAATGGAGGACTTCATTCACTTTTTTACAAGCCGCAGTGGTTTAAGATCTGTTTTCGGGGCTTTATCATGATCAAGAAACGCTGCGACGTGGCTGCATTTGCGAAGTTGTCGCATGTAACTTTACATGCACGTACAGTCACCGATGGAAATCTGTCAGTGGTGGAGAAAGGCCGGTTTTTTCGCCGTAGCCACATATTGGCGTTAATATTTGTCGATTTGTGAAGTCAGGTGGTTTGAGGTAGGTTATGGCATCGATATCACCGAATAATTTGTACAAATGTTGGAAAAAACCAGCCCGAAACTCTGACATCTTTCATCATCGTTGGCAGCTTGTTTACTGAACCTACAGCGGCCGATTTTGTACCATATCTTGATCAGAGATCTCTTTTTGGAACAATTTCTTTCATTAAGGAATTTAATTTTGACATAAAATAAATCAAGAATGCTAAAACTATCCGTTTTGTTGCTGGTTGGCATATGGTTAAGTTTTCCTATAGACTTTCTACACAAGAAATTCACACTGTTGTTGTCTTTCTCTGCGATTTGGCATCGTCTTGAAATGTAAACTGCTTTCCAGCTTTGTACTTTATAACTTCTAAAGCTATGGCAGTAGCGAATTGTGACGCTCAGTAATAAAATGTGGAAACCAACGCTTTGAATATTTAGAAGGGCTGGGTAAGTAACTTGTTCTGTTTTTTAGCCTTTCTAAAATCGTTGTTTGCAGATCAATAGCCAGTTTTGTTTATGGCTCGTGGTCCGGATGCCTTTTTCTATGGGTTTACCGGTATAATAAACCATAGGTTTTTGACCAATCAGATCACGCGTACTATCTCAGCTATTTTATAAACCTTGATATTTCATGAAAAAGTCGATCGCGTTTGATCGCGTTTTCGATCGAGTACTCGAGAAACGCGAAACGAGTGCTCTAAAAGCTCGCGCGCGAAACTCGAGCGCTAATTGAGACTGGGCATTAAAAGAAACAAATATGGCACCGGTACACGCAGAACATGTTTGTAGTTAAATTGGCCCTAAAGTGACGTTTTTAGACTCCAGGTACTCGTATATCACCTCGATCGGATCTTTGACTTATTTGTCAACACTTAGCTTTATTTATGGCATAGAATTTCACGGACGTGGCTTGGCAGAAGGTCCCGCAATGGTCTTATGAGGTATGCTCGGGCTTAACTTAAAGTTTTTAAAGGCTTTAACACAGAAAATGTTGGTCTCATGAGCATGAAATATTTAGATAATGTTAGTGAAAGGATTAAGCTAATGTTTTTAATCTGACCACTATCAGGTAATTTTAAGGTAGCCCTTCTCCGGGCATTTTACCATCCCCATCTACAGTGAAACCTGTAACTTGTGGATTAACCCACGTGACCTTAGTTGGTGTTCCCTGAATACAGTCTCTCTTTGCAGTAAAAATG